GCATGTACCACCATACCCAGCTAATTTTTCTTAAAATATCTTTTGTGGAGATGGGAGTCTGGCCTCAAACTCCTGGCCTCAAGTGATCATCCTGCCTTGGCCTCCCAAAGTGCTGAGATTACAGGCATGTGCTATTGTGCCTGGCCATCGCTGTAGATTTAAATTTGATCTTTCTCTTGTCTACTAAGTCATTTAGTAATTCAGTTCTTTTGCAGCACTGAAAATTTGTTGACAACTCTTGTCTGCCATTGTCTCCTCTCTCACTCTTTGTAACGTTGTAGGTTTGACATTTTTATTCCTTTACTATCATAGGATTTTCAGGGAGTGAAGAGTAATATAAATGTTCAATTTTTCCATAAAGACTTTAAAAATCTAAACTTTATAGGGCAATCTTTTTTGAGATTAAAATAATCCATAGGTTCCAAGGTGACAGCCCATAACATTGGGCAGGATAGGAAGAAGATGAATATTATCAATACTATAGAAGAATGTTGAAAATCAATGGAAAGTCCGGGTGCCTCTCCATTTTGGTTCCAGTCTGATTTATGTGTAAAGCGTCCTATGGTAGAAAGGTATTTAAGTTAACAAAACAGAGAAAAAGATTTCACCGTTTCTTTTTTCCATTGTTTTCATACTGCCTTGCTCAAATGAATTATGCCCACTTGACGCAAAGATTTTAAGTAAAGCAGACTAGTTAGGAAACTCAGTACAGTTGTAACCTGGTTGCAAAACCATCTGGTATGTTTCCAAAGGCTATTATTATATTTCATGGACTTATATTACTTCAAATACTCTAACAGTCCCATGTGGGCTTAAAAAAAATAACATAAAATTCAATTGGTTTCTGCTTATTTTAGATCTTCTAGATGTATACCTTATAAGAAGAGTGCCTCAGAGTATAAGCACCTTTTCTGTCAATCAACACAATGAGTTTTATGAAATGATATAAAACATTCACTTGACCTTTTTTTAAAATTTTAAAAAATTCTATTGATTGATTTTCAAAAGGATAAGTTCCTTTGTAACAAATTGGTACTTGATGATATTGTTTCATTGAAAATCAGTAAAATGATAGCTGGGCTCTCCATTTTAAAAAAACTAATAAAATACTTGACGTACAGTATTACATATCATTACTACAAACGCATAATTTTTATGATATTCTACAAAAGCATGTTTTGAAGCGCTAAAAGCTCTCTGGGCAATGTGGTATAGTGGGAAAAAGCACTGAACCTCACTAAATTCAACAAGCATTTGTTAAAAATATATGTCCCAAACTGACACACGGTTGATGAACACATGTTCAGGGAAGAAAAAAGATACATAAACAGGCTATTACAATACAATGAGATATATGCTATAATGCAGATAACATACAAAATGCTATGTTTACTAAGGTTTAAATAACTCTAGTTGGAAAATTTAAAAAGTCCTCATGAAGGACATGACCTTCAACTAGGTTTTGATTGCTAAATTTGCCAAATGAATGGTAATGGTAACTTATTGCTAAGGTAGACAGTAATGAAAGAATATGGTATGTTTAATAGTGAGATGTTAATGTTTAATAGTGAAAAATTTGTAGGGCATAACGATGAAAAAGCAGGCCTTGCAGTTTTAGAAGTAGGTGGGACCAAGATGTAAAAGGCCAGTTAGTAGCTATGTGACCTTAGAAAAGTAATTTAATCTCTCACAATCAGTCTAAAAATAAAACAATCAAATGAAACATGGACTACCAACATGGACTACTATTGAAAGTGATCAATGGAAGAATCAAATGAGATAATGTATGTAGAAAAAGTTTATAAATGACAAAGTAGGATATGAATATAACTTATGTCATATGGTTTCTTGAAATTCAAGGTATTGCTTATATTAACAGGAAAAAAATCAACTGAGGTAATATTTATTTTTCTGAAATTGAGTATAATGACTAAAAGTCAAGAATTTCAAATATATATTCAAGCTCCCCAAGAAACTATTAGCTGAATATTAAAATTCAAACAAAACAGGTCAATCAGCAGGGAGAGACAAAGTAAGCAGATGAAATCCTTCAGTAACAACTTGCAGTGCAACTTATTTCCAAGTAAAATGGGATTTCTAGGCAGAAAAGGGCAGCAGGGTGTCAGTAGCTTAGCCATAGAACTGAATCACTCAGATTGAAGAAAAACACCTACAGAATACCATTCTGAAATGATGGGGAAGGGAGTGAGTGATGTGTTCTGGGACTTAAATCTAGTTGTAGTCCTATGCTATCAGTTATATATATATGTAAATCTGATCTGCTAATGTGCAAATGGACTAATGTAACTTGAGAAAAATCTAAATTCTGGATTCAGCTAGGTCAGATTATGATTAGCTGCAGGACTTCTGGCTGAAATGCGAATATGTCAAATGGTCATGTTTTAGTGATTTTACTCTTGTTTCTTTTCTTTCCTTTTTTTTTTTTTTTTTCCAAGACAGGGTCTCGCTCCGTTGCCTGGGCTACAGTGCAGTGGCATCACTGTAGCTCACTGCAACCTCAAACTCCTGGGCTCAAGTCATCCTCCTGCCTCAACCTCTGGAGTAGATGGGACTACAGGCACAAGCCACCACAGTTGGCTAATTTTTCTATTTTTGTCCCACTACATTACTCAGGATGGTCTCGAATTCCTGGCCTCAAGTGATCGTCCTGCCTTGGCCTCCCAAAGTGCTGGGATTAAAGACGTGAGCCACCACGCCTGGCCTTAACCTGTTTCTTTTATATGAATTATCCAAATGCATTACAGCCTCACTAAGTAAATAATTATTACATGGGTAAGCTAATTACAGTTTCACAAATAGAGAATATAGTATCTTAAATTAAGTTGTACAAAAACTAATTAGTGTTTATAAATTGAATGTTGATGTCCTACAATATGAAATCATGATATAGTCATGTGCTGCATGATATTTCAGTCAATGATGGACCACATATATGACAGTGATCCCATAAAATTATAACAGAAAACAGCTGAAAAATTCCTACTGCCTAGTATGTCTTAGCCTTCCTAATGTTGTAGCACAACACATTACTCATGTGTTTCTGATGATGCTGGTGTAAACAAACCTGTGCTGCCAGTCATATAAAAGTAGAGCACATACAATTATATACAATACTTATTTATTACTGCTATAAAATATTATGTTACTGGTTTATGTATTTCTTATACAGTAATTCTTATTGTTATTTTAGAGTGTACTCCTTCTACTTGTTAAAACAAAAAAAAAAGTTAATTATAAAACAGCCTCAGGTAGGTCCTTCAGGAGGTATTCCAGAAGGTGGTGTTACCACAGGGAGAGGACAACTCTGTACATATTATGTATTGCCCTTGAAGACTTTCCAACGGAACAAGATGTGGAGGTGGAAGACAGTGATATTGATGATCCTGACCCTGTGTAGGCCTAGGCTAATGTGTGTGTTTGTGCCTTAGATTTTAACAAAAAAGTTTAAAAGGAAAAAAAAAATTTAAGTAGGAAAAAGGTTATAGAATAAGGATATAAAGAAAAAATATTTTTGTAGAGCTGTACAATGTGCTTGTGTTTTAAGCTAAATGTTACTTTATAACTTCTTGATTCTTTTATAGTAACAAAGTTAAAGGAAACTAAGGGTAATTTATTGAAGAAAAATATTAAAAAATTTAGTGTAGTCTAAGTGTACAGTGTTTATAAAGTCTACAGTAGTGTACAGTAATGTCCTAGGCCTTCACATTGACTCACTACTCACTCACCCAGAGCAACTTCCTGTCCTGTAAGCTCCATTTATGGTAAGTACCATGTACAGGTGTACTATTTTTCATATAACACATATTTATACTTTATTATTTTTACTGTTCCTTTTCTATGTTTAGAGACACAAATACTTACCATTGTATTACAATTGCCTGTAGTATTCAGTACAGTAACGTGCTGAACAGGTCTATAGCCTAGGAGCAATAGGCTATGCTATACAGCCTAGGTATGCAGTAGGCTATACCATCTAGGTTTGTTTCAGTACACTCTATGATGTTCCCACAACAACAAAATCGCCATATAACCCATTTCTCAGAACATATCCACATGACTGTATAAAATAATGATTTAATTTAAAAACTAGTAAAAACACAAATTTTAATGGGTAAGAATTCTTCAAAAATGGAGTATTATGATTAAATGTTATTTAGTTGGTGTTAATTCTTTAGTACCATGACCATGGCTTGTTTTAACCCTTCTTGAATGATTTGCTAAAGACTTTACTGCCCATTTCTACTTCTCAAAAAAGTAACTATTTTATCTTTTCTTTCTTTAATTAATCAATATTCTTCAGTTTCAATGTTATCCGTCAACATTATCACCATATGTAGAAGACACAGGAAAGTACAGATTGCAATCACACTGTTATCTAAACCTTAGAAGTGACATTAAAATGGAAATGATATTTTTTTCCTGCTAGATGCCCTCTTTACATAGAAGCTGAATAAAAAATTATGCAATTACAAGATCTCACATGGCAGTATAAGAGATTTTGTTTGTATTTGATAAAAGTAAAAGATACACGGATTCTACATATTTTCAATTATTGAAAGTGTACTTTGTAAATGGAATACCTCTTCACAACTAGTATATTAATTTTATTCCCTGACATATTGGGGGAGGAAGGAAAAGGGTTGGTTATCTATAAAATCATCATCTGAGCTTTGATGTTCACAAAACTTTTTTATTCGGTGGTGACCTTCCTTTAATAAATATTTACTGAGCACCTTTGTGTGCCATTCATTGTTTGACCGATCATAAAATTTCTTTAAACTTTAGCAGATTGTGAGTTTTGTTTTCGGTCTAGTTTATTTATTCTTTTCAACTTCTGCATGTGACATCATTTAAATGACATCAGTTAAATAAAATTTTACCAAATTTATTATAAAAAGTAAAGTAGCAAGACTAGCTCTATATATATCCCTGGTCACAGATAATTACAGTAACATTATATTAAATTTGACTCTACTTACCTACCTAGGGCCTGGTTTAAGGCCCTGTATGCTTGAATTTCATACCACTGACGGCCAGGTAAAAGACCTCTCAATTTTGAATGGTGGTCATTGTATTGTCGCTTTAGTTCAACCTGATAATTTAAAAATACATTTAAAATGTAGTAGATAATTAAAGCTCATTTTATATATCATATTAATTTCTAACAGTCTGAATATATTGTTTTTCAGCACTGATTTTTCTCCATTTCATTTAAAGTAGTTTTATTGATCTTTACATTCCTTAAATTCTCTCATGCATATAATTAGCTATGTGATGTCAAACAGTTTTATGGAGATATAATTCATATACAATAAGTTTCACATACTTTCAGTGTACAAGTAGATGAGTTTTGAGAAATGTATAGTCAGAACCACAATCATAATATAGAACATATTCATCACCCCAAAAGTTCCCTCCTATTTCCTTTCAGTCAATTTCCTTCCTCTACTGCTAGCTCTACTGATCTGTTTTCTGTTTTACCCGTTATAGGATTTCATGTAAATGTTATCATACAGTATGTAATCATTTGTGTCTTTTTTCATTAAGCATGCTTTTGGAATTCATCCATGTTGAAATGCATGAGTTCATTCTTTAATGTTTATAAGATCTGGTAAGCTCTACTTTTTAATTGGGATGTTTAGACCATTTACATTTAATGTAGTTATTGTTATCACTGAGTTTAAGACTACCATCTTGACATCTTTTTTCCCATTTGTTTCATCTTCCTTTTATCTTTTGGATCAACTGGTTTTTTTCCCACTAACGCTTCCATTTTATTTCCACTGTTGGATTATTATCTATATGTCCTTTTTTTCTGTGTGATTATTCTAGGTGAGGGAAAAATGCAGGTTCCCCAACACATAACAGAAACACTCTGCTAGCCCAGAGTGCTCAGCAAAATTGTTACAAAGTAGATTAAATAGGTACCAAGATAACTACTGGGCCTCGGAAAAGTGCCCAGCACTTTTCTTGGGTGCCTCAGAACTTTCTTGCCCTGAAATGGCTGGCTCAGACTGGCCCTGACTGCTTTAGAGCTGCTTTGGGTGTCCTGTAATGCCCTTTAGTTAACTGTAATACTAAAATACCTGCCTAGTGGGAAACTGTAATATCATTAACATAGCATGGGTTGCGTATGATGGTGGTACTACACCTGCATGATATGTTTCACTATGAACAAGCAAAGATACAATGTAAAAACTTTGCATTATTCATTGGGAAGAGATTTAAGGCAACACCACAGGGTGGGCAGATGTAGATTCTTCATGCAAGAAAGCTCCTGTGGAAGAAATTCCTGTACCACTTAGGAGCAAGTGTCCTAGTAAGTAACCTCTAATAAACAAATCTAACTTGTCAAGCTGTTCTTGTGTGAGTCATTCTTTGGTTGCTCAGTTCCCTCTCAGTTTGGGGATGGTTTTCCTGTACTGTCCTGGGATTTTCACAAAACACTTGGGTTTACAATATACATCTCTAACTTATTACAGTCTACCTTAAAATAATATACCACTTCACATATGGTATAAAAACTATACAACAATATACTTCCATTTCTCTTTGACCTCTGTGCTACTGTCATACATTTTAGTTTTACATATACTATAAACCCATAAAACTTTTTTTTTTATGCTTTAAGTAGTAAATCTTTTATTTTTAAATAGGCTTTTTAGAATAAGTTTAGATTTTTAGAAAAGTTGCAAACGTAGTGCGGAGATTCCTTATGTCCTTTATCCAATTTCCCCTAATGTTAACATCTTACACTCCTATAGTACATATGTCAGACTAAAATTAACATTAATACATTACATACTTTATTCAGGTTTTCACTTTTTCCAAACAAATAATTATGCTTTAAAAGATACAGTATTCACCCACAGACTTACCATTTCTGGCGCTCTTCATTTCATTGTATAGATTTAAATTTTGATCTTGGTATCATTTACCTTCTACCTGAAGAACTTCCTTTAACATCAGTTAGTAGTGTAGATTTGCTGGCAATGAATTCCTTCAGCTCTTGTTTTTCTGAAAAGCCTTTACTTCATCTTCATTTTTGAGATATTTTCTCACTGGATTAAGACTTCTAAGTTGACTTTTTTTCTTTCAGTACTTTACTTTAAAGATGTCTCTTCATCATTTTCTCATTTGCATAGTTCTGAAGAAAAGTCTACTATTGTCCTATTTCTGTTAGTGATGGCTCATTTTTCTTTGGCAAGTTTGGCTTCTGAAGTGCTGTGTGTATTCTGCTTGAGCTTTATTAAGCTTGGACCTATGGGCCTATAGTTTCCATCAAATTTAGAAACTTTTCATTGTTTTTTTGAATATATATTTTTTCTGCCTCCATAGACCCTCTTCTCCTCCTTAGACTCCAATTTAACTTTATTAAGGCAAATTACATTACATTACAACATGTCAATGATGCTCCATTTATATTTTCCAATTTTTTTCACTCTACACTTCATTTTGGATATTTTTATTTCTATGTCTTCAAATTCACTGGTCTTTCCTTCTATATAATCCACCTAGTATGTTTTCATTTTATATATTTTTCATATCTAGAAATTTCATCTTAGTTTTTAAAAATGTTTCTCTTAGCATGCTCATGTTTTCTTCTATCTTTGAACATACAAAATATAAAACATAAGATATTTTAACATACTTGCCTGGTAGTTCTAGCATCTCTGTCATTTCTGGTTTTGTTTTTGTTGATTGATTTTCCTCTGTATTAGAGGTTATATTCTCTTCTTTGCATGGCTGCTAATTTTTGATTGGACACTAGACATTGTAAATGTTACATAAATTGTTACTGGATTTTGCTGTATTAATTTAAATAGTGTTTTATTTTGTTCTGGAGTGCAGTTAGGTAACTTGGAACCAGTTCATTCTTTTTTGTTGTCATGGTTGAAACTCGGTCTCACTATGTTGTCCAGGCTGGTCTTGAACTCCTGGCCTCAAGTGATCTTTTTGTCTCAGCCTCCCAAAGTGCTGGGATCACAGGTGTGAGCCACCACGCCCAGCTCAGTTCATTGTTTTGAGACTTACTTATAAGCTTTGTTAGGGCAGGTCCAGAGCAACCTTCAGTCTAGGGCTAATTTATCCCCAATAAAAGATTAAACTCTTCTGATGACTATATCCAATGCCCCATGTATTGAGGTCTTTTCTACTCTGGCTGTTGGGAACTCAACTATTCCCAGACCTTTGTGAGCTCAAGAAATTGTTCTACCTATTCCTTTCCTGGCCTTATGTAGGTTCGTCTCATGCATATGCCAATCAGTACTCAAAGACTCAAGTGGACTCTCTTGCAGGTATCTGGAGCTTTCTCTCTGTGCAGCTCCATCCTCTCTGATACTCTTGCCTTGCAAATTCTACCTGCCAGGGCCTCCCTAAAGTCTATCTCCTCAACTCAGTGGGACCACCAACCTCTGTTTTATTCTCCCTGCACTGCAGCCTGGTAACTGGCTCCATGCAATAATCTCATGCAATTGTGGGATTTCCTTCCACTTAGGAATCTGAGTCCTATTCTGCCTACTATCCCATGTCTATGAAACACTGTTTCATAATAACATCCAATTTTCTACTTCACTAGCAAGGGAGTAACACCAGATTTACAATACAATACAAAGATTACAGAGGAAAAGTTTTAACAGCTCTTTCTACCTGAAACTTAAACATTTCTAAGGTTAAAAAAAAAAACTATAAATATATGAATATATTTAGACTAAAAATATGAATATATTTCTAACATATATGTTATAGTATTAATATCTTTATATATAGTTTCTAAATATAAGAAAAAGACCAAAAGCCTAAAAGAAAAAAATGAAAGGTACATGAAATTATTACTAATAGTAGAAATACAAGTAGACTATCCACGCATAAAAAGATACCTTACTAGTAATTAGGAATACTAAAATAAAATGCTACTTTTCATGTATAAGAGTGGCAAATATTTAAAAGAAGGATGACAACATTTCTATGCCAGCTAAGATGGAGTAATTACCACTACTAAGTTTCCTACCATACACACCCACAAAACTGGACAAAGCACACATGAGGCAACTGTCTCCAGAGGCAAAGGGCAGACAGTAATTCTAAGCTTCCCACAGGTACAATTTTTCAGCTCCAGTGCAATGAGCTGAAATGGTTCTGCTGAGCTTATTCACGAAGTGTATTAAAGTTTTGGGTATCTGAAGTTCTTGGAATCAGTGGGGCAGGGCAGAGAGGAGGGAACAGCATGGGGGACAGGACTGCAGTCTGTGTACAGGTCTTCAGCAAGTTCCTGCTTGAAGGTTTGGCTGTATGTGTGTAGGGTGATATCACCGAAGGCTTACCTGAGAACACACAATGCAGAATCAGAGGAGAAAAGAGATAATAAAGGTCAAGGAATGCTTAAAGATGTTGGAATTCTGGCCCAGCCAGACTGGAGATATGTTAACACCCTAGGCAGCCATCTGAGCCATCGGAAATGTCAGGTGTCACATCAAGAATAAGGACTACAATTCAGAGTAATGACTATACTAAACCAGCCCCAACAAAGACTTATCCAAACCCTGACAAAATCCATAGAAAAGACAGAGTTTAAAGATTGAGGACTCGAAGGCTTTTCTGGATCTCCCCCCAACAAATCATCAATTCACGCCCATACAAGTTCAAGATGGTAAGACACTAACTGAACTGCCTACAAAACCCAAAAATCAATATTCTTTCAGGAAGGATAATAGAATCCAGAATCTCTATACTGTACCATCCATAATGTCTAGTATATAATGAAAATTACCAAAATAATGTGAACCATTATAAGGGAAAAAAAGGCATTCAGTAGAAAACAATCTAGAGGGGACCCAGCTGTCAGAATAGTGGACAAAGACTTTAAAGCACCTGCTATAAATATATTTAACATAAAAACATACAGTTTAATAAATAAACCTCAGGGAATCAGAGAGAAGTGAAAACTATAAAAAAAGATTCATATGGAAATGCTACAACAGTAACTGAAAAATACAGTAACTGAAATAAAAATTCATTGAATGGGTTTAACAGCAGATTGAAAAAGGCAGAAGAATCAATAAATCTTAAGAGCAATCACTAGAAGCAACAAAA